AAAATCTTGCCACTTTGTAGACTGGGACGTTTTCTCCCTTCTTTTCTCTGTGGTCTTCTTGCTAAATGACACACACTCTCGCTCTCTGTGTGTGATGATGAGGAGGATGATCCGGGGGTCATCTGGGAACAGATCGGGAGTTTGGGGAAGACCGATGTACTGTAAACTTCAGTCCCAATAAACGCGCTTAATTAGAGGAAAACCTGGCTGAAATCGTGGGGGGGGGAGGGACTGGCGAATGAATACAAGGCAAGAGAAAGACGGGTGGGTGTCTGTCCCGTGACTTTTCTGCCTAACCCCGCCCCAGCCCGCGTTGGCATTGGCTTTCTGAGGTGAGGAAGGCAAGCTGTAAAATCGGAGTGTTATTTGGTAAAGGGAGGGGAAGCCACGTTTCCTGTTTACAGGTTTAAAAAAAGAGCAAGGGGCGAGAGCCTGGGAGCAAGTTGTACCGGCAATAGTTCTTTGTTTCAAGATTTCTTCAGGGCTGGGTTTGGGAATGGTGCAGAAATGCTTCGAAATGTCGTTTATTTTTTTCCCGCCTCCTTTATTCGGGAGTGAAGCTGAGATGAAGATTTTATTTCAGCGGGAGGAAAGGATATTTTGAGGATTTTGCAGGATTTCTCGCAGAAAAGAACGGACACGGTGGCAAAGGAGCATCCCTAGCAGATTTAACTAACTAGCGCCTTGGGATACAGTGCCTGAAGGATGGAGTGGGGGGGGGGACCATAATGAAATCGCTATGCCTCCTCACCGCTGGTTTTCTCTCCTTTTCACCACATTATGCCCTCTTTTCCCCAGCTTTATAGATAAAGTAATGCCTGTCTAAATTGGAAAGGGGCTTGGCTTTTCCCCGCCCCCTTTATTTTGAGCACGGAGTGCCTGGAAACGTGTCACCGACTCGACATGCCCTCTCCTGTGCCGCTCTTCTCGTCGCTTTGTGTCAGATGCTTTATGCAGCGCCTCAGGGGCAGCCCAGTTGTGCAAGGATGTGCATCAACCGCGGGAAGGGGTGGGGAAGGGGATTCCTTTGTCTGGGTCCTCTTTGTGCTTTCCTCGGAAAAGGAAAGGGCAGCATCTGCGCTGCGAGGTGAGACCCCTGACAGGTCTCGCCACTTTCTGAAAGAGAGAGAAGTGTCCCTCCAACACACATGCACACACGCGTGCACACGCACCAACACACACANCCCCCCCCCCCCCCCCATCTTTGTTAGTCGAGTTGCTTCTCAGTAGGATGGACTTGAGCATCCAGGTCAGCTGGCTTTCATTGTCTCTGCCTTGCCCAAGGATAGTCACGGAGTTCCTCGAATTTCCATGTGCAAAGATCCTCTCGGAGCCAGCTGAGAGAGATGATGCCTTCATTGTCTGGTCTCAAGCATCCCTACCTAGGAGATAAGCAGGTGTGGCCTTTGTTGGCAGCGTTTCCTGAGTGTGACAGTTCACTCATTTCTTCTAGGAGCTGATCTCATCTTTGTGAGCTACTCTCCAGTGGATTTCCTGTACTTATCTCTCTTTGTCTGGTGATGAATGCTTGCTCAGTTCACTTTGTGAACAATGGAGCCCCTGCACATGTGAAGAGATTCGCTGCCCTTTGAATTACAGCAGTCATCAGAGAAGTGGGATAATGACTTGCTGATTAAGAGAATGAACTGGGAGGCAAGTCAATTTTTTCTTAGGCTTTAATTATCCACCAGCAATGTGCTTGGTGGTAATATTGTCCCACCTTATAGGAATGTTATAAGAGTGATTATAAGAGTGACAGCCTTGTTGCCTTGAGAGTAATCTGCTGGGGCTTGGATGCTGGTGTGGACTTTAAAAAGTATGTTGAACTGATCCTTCTCGCTCTGTCTTTCTCTGTTTTTCTTATATCCTCTTCTCATCTCCTCTTCTCTCAGTAGTCAGTTAGGGGATCAATTTGGCCAGAGAGCTGAACTGGTTACTTGTGTCACTCTTTTCATTGCTCAGTCAGCCTTCCCTTCCCTCCTTTTGCTCTCTGACCATTCTTCTCTTCCTCCTGGTAGCCACATGGCAGCCCTTGTATTGTCTACCCATATAGCAAGGAGTGCTCAAAGCACTCCATGTACTCGAAGTGTTATTAAGACTTTTGTGCACTGTAGACTGGTATGGTTAGTAAGACAGATCATTACAAAATATAGAGAATTGTTACAAGCAACACTAAAAAGCACTCTTTGTTTACGGTATTACACCCACCTACAAAAAAGCCCACCAGGGGGCTTACAAAAATAATCATACAATACAGGTTCTAGTTCATAAAACTACATAAAAGTACTAGTTTTCAAATGTGTAGCTGTGGAAAAGGTCTTCATTAGGAAAAAGAGAGATAGTAATGCCACCTACTCTGTGATATCTTACAGAAGGTATTTTGCTTTATGCCACTCTGCTCCACATTCTTCATTTGGGACAACAACGGAAATGGCCTTACTTCCTTACAAGACGAAATAAGGAGCATAATCTTACTGGTGAATCCAAAAAGTTCAGTGTGATTAAAGGCCATTCCTAGGCACTCATGAGGCAGACTGTGTAGCACTTTAAAGATTTGTTCATTTACAGCGATTTTCACCTTGCTCTTAAGCCAAACTGTTATTATGTACCATCAAGTGTTATATGATGTATGAAGATCCTGGTAGGGGTTTCAAACTATGTGAAACATCTAAGAAGTGGTTTCACCATTGCTTTTCACCCACATGAGTTTCCATGACTGAGCAGGGACTTGAAAACTGATTCCCTAAGTCCTAGTCCATCTCTCAATTCACTATACCACAAGATAAACAAAAATAAGTTTTCTAAGAGGTTTACGGAAGTCACAAGGAAGGGAGTGACAGTGTTTTGAACAAGATGAGTGTTTGTCTTCACTGGGGTAGAGAATGTGGTCTTCCAGATGTTGTTTAACTGTGACTCCCATCAATCTAACTTAGTGAGGTAGAATTTACAATTCAACAATATTAATTCATTAATTGAATTGAGACTCGAGACCTCCCAACTTAGTGAGACACTACTCAGGGAGGTTTACATAATTAATTAAGCAGGACATGCAAACTAAAATAGTAAAAGAATGAGTATATAATACCAGAAACAGAAAGGCAACCGAGGATTGCCATCTGGTGGTTTAGATGAACCAAATTATATAAATCATAACATAATAAACGAAATGTCCAATAATATAATAAAATAATAACTGCAATAGCATGTGGGTCTGCAAAGTTAACCTAGGATGTTGCCAAAGGCATCCTTAAATAAGATGGTGTTTACTGATCTTCTAAAGATCTGTAGGGAGGGGGGACTGTCTAATTTTTGGTAAAAGTTTATTCCACAGTGAGGGTGCCACTACAGAAAAAGCCCAAGTCCTAGTACTCTTTTTCCTTATTTGGTGCAGGGTAGGCACCCTCAATAGTGCAGCCTGAGGAATGGGTTGCATGGGTAGATACCCTCAGGGAGAGTCACTCTGATAGGTAACAAGGTCCTAAACTATTTAGTGCTTACCAACCCCTTAAATCTGACACGGTTGCCAACAGGGAGCCATTGCAGATCAGCCTGGATTGGGGAAACATGATCAAATATCCTAGCCCTTGATATTAACCTGGCTGCCACGTTCTGTACCTGTTATAGTTTCTGCCTCATCTTCAAGGGAAATCTCACACAGAGAGCATTACAGTACTTAAGTCTCGAGGTTACTGATGTATGGATCAAGGTCTTCAGGGATCTCTTATCCAGGCTTAGGCGCAAACTGGGCAATCAGCCTGAGGTGAAAGAAGGCGGGCTTGGTCCATGTGTTGGTCCATGTGTTGCCTCTCCCTGGAATATACTGTAGAAGGAGGACAGCTGGCCCTGTCATTAGGCAGAATGAAATAATTACCTCAGGTTATTGAGGGAGGACAAACTACCAATAACTATGCCTCCTGAAGTGGGCCTATACAGCACCCCAAAAGCAGACTCTGCCTTACTAATGCCAGACACAAGGTCCTAGATTTGTGAGCAAAGCTCTGTCCCCTCATAGGTCTTAATCTGCTCAGCTTGGCACCTTGTTCTGCAGTAAACATAGCATTCATATTTATTATTTTTAAACAGAAGCAAAAAGGAGACAGATTACTTACTGTGAACTCATTGGAGAAGAATTCACAATCTTGGATGTGGTGAAGAGAAATAGTGCTTGGTCCAAGAAGGTGGTAATATTCACATTGTACTAAGCAGTTACAGGGTAAGCTGATATGAGTTCAAGGCCTACCTGTTTATTTGGGAAGCAGATAAGAATTCAAGGCCTACATGTTTATGCGCCTTCTTTTTCCAGGTTGGTTTCAGGAGGTTTGCTTAGGCAGATATTTTGTTCTGTAGATTTGTTGACATGCCAGTGAACTTTCACTGAGTTAGAATGAAAACTGACAGCTCAAGACAACACATCTGGAGTTAGAGGCAGTCTGAAGACTGTCTCCCAATCCACTCTCTAAACGCTGGGAAGAGTGAGGAAGCAGACAGGCACCCTTTTCACTGGCCAACAGTTAACTGAAAGTTCAAATTTTGCACTTTCCCTGCCTCCCACTTGGTTTTTTTTCAGTTCTTAACTCAAATCTAAGTATGTAAGTCAAGTCAATATTTTCCTATGAGAGTGGTTTTTAAGTCAAAATGTTCTTAACTCAAGCCGTTCTTAAGTCAAGACCCCACTGTAGTGCTTGGTCCAAGAAGGTGGTAAGATTCACATTGTACTAAGCAGTTACAGGATAAGAAGATATGAGTTCAAGGCCTACCTGTTTATTTGGGAAGCAGATAAGAATTCAAGGCCTACATGTTTATGCGCCTTCTTTTTCCAGGTTGGTTTCAGGAGGTTTGCTTAGGCAGATACTTTGTTCTGTAGATTTGTTGACATGCCAGTGAACTTTCACTGAGTTAGAATGAAAACTGACAGCTCAAGACAACACATCTGGAGTTAGCCATGGCTCTACGAATAGCAACAATTGCCATGTTCAAACCAAAGCGAGGCTTATTGGCTCAAGCATTTATTTAGCAAACAACTGAATTGATCTTGAATTAGTAATATCACAAATTCCGTTCTGATTACCATTTAAGTGACATATAATTTGATGTCATGCTGTATGCAGTAATCACAGAACCACTCAAAAAGAGCTGTGCTGCTTAAAATGTGACATCAAGTGATGAACAGAGAGCAGAGGCTTTGTTTTGCGTGAGCCTTTGTATTTCTGGTAGTGCCTGATTGTTAGGTTGGCTCAGGAATTGCTGTCAACTCATGTCAGAGAACTGACAGGAGGAGACAACACAGATGTGTCTCTCGGAAGAGTGACAGCGTAAGTTAAAAAGCTGGGCTAAAACTTTGAGCTGGCCAGATAAATTATAACGATAGGGCAGAATGCAATAAAACAACAACATGGAAGTGGTGGAGGAGTGTAGGGCTGCTCCAGGAAATGTCCAGTTTTTCTTCCCCTGGCTCAAGTTGAATCTCATGTTATTGTCTTTATTATGTGTCATCCTTGCCTATATAAGCAGTAACCAGTGCTGTGTCTGCAGCAGAGAGGAGCAGCACGTGACAACTGAATGGCATAGCTTCAGCGGTCCTGTGTGATACAGCGCAGTTCCACCCTCAGTTATGTTAGATGGGGAATCACATGGGTTTGGATTAGGCTACAAAGCTGATGTGCAAACAGGACAACGCAGTTCAAGAGAATGGATAGTTTTATTTATTCTGTTTTGACCCACCTCCGGGAGGCAGTGGAAGACAGGAGGGCCTGGCGTGCTCTGGTCCATGGGGTCACGAAGAGTCGGACACGACTTAACGACTAAACAACAACATTTATTCTGTTACATTTTTCACTTGATTTTTCCACAAGAAAAGCAATACTCAGGGTCGGTTTAAAGCAAATAAAATAATAAGAAGAGTAAACTATCACAGCGCTCTGTAAACAGCAAAATAGTTTAACTGGCTATACTGAAAAAGTGCAACCTGATACTTGACCTATGAGTAGTGAGAGTGGACACAGATTCCAACTCTGGTGGAAATCCATTCCACAGTGTGGGACCAATGTAAAAGAAAAAACTCTTTTTAGGGGGCCAGAGCATGTGAGGGTATTTTCAAGAGGGCCTCTTCTAAAGATCTTAGCATACAGGCAGGTTTATAACTAGAGTGGCTGCTGTTCCCTAATCTATTCAGAGTTTCAAAGGTTAGAATCAACACCTTGAGTGAGCTTAGAAAGCAGTTTGTGGCTAGTGGCCATACTATAGGAGAAGGAGGTGGCATTCTCTTGCCCTTCTCTGGGGGGGGCACTTATTCCCCTTCTCTTCTCAGTTTCAGTTCATCAGTTTGGGCGAACCTTTTCACATCCTCACTTGATGGCTGTGTGCTGCCATTATTGTTTTTTGGACAGATTGCTATAAAATATATATACAGTAAATAGATCTACTGCAGTACTGTTTACTCTGTGCATGTATATTCGAAGAACCAAATGATTATATATGGCCTTGATTATATAAGGAAACAGAATATACAGTAGGACCGCAGTATCCACAAGGAATCAGTTCCAAGCCCCTTCTTGCAGATCCTGGAAAATGCAGAAGTATCAAACACTATACATTGTGTGGTCTCTGGCTCCCTCTAGCGGCTATTTTGGTGAATACACCCAGGAAATATGTAT